AGAGAGAGGCAGAGACACAGGCAGAGGGAGAAGCAGGCTCCCTGCAGGGAGCCCAATGTGGAACTCAATCCAAGGACTCCAGGATCACACCCTGGGCTGAAGGCAGGCACTAAACCACTGAGCCACTCAGGGGTCCCCAAGAATAGAAATTTAGAGAATTTGATTGTATGAATATAATAGGTATAGATAAGAAATAATAGTTATCAAAAACATTAAGCAGACTCTCCAACAAGCATTGTTTCCCTTCTTCAGCCAACTTTTGCTAATCCCTGGTTGTTCAGTCAGCCTTTGTTGAGCCGTCCTGGTGCTTCCTGGACACATCCCATCTCTGCATCCAAGCCATCACTCTTCAAGTCTCTCTCCCCCCTACCTTGACCCATTCTTTATACACCTTTGGGCAACCTGATATGAATAAACTCATATTTTTCTCTGGGTTTAATCATATCAAAATGGTTCAAGAATCTCGCAGCCCAGGGCTGCACCTGGGAGTGGGGGGGGGGGGGAGGGGGTGTCTCTGGTCTTGAGACCTGGCTCTTGGAATTCCAGGAGCTGAAGTCCTGGAATCCTGTAGGCCTGAAGAGTTAAGAAAAATCCTAGAATGGTCAACATGAAGGAATATACTAAATAACAGAAAGATATTCATGCGATCAGCTGTTTATTGAGCACATATCATGTTCCAGGCATCGTTCCAGGTGTTTGGCATGTGGATATAATCAAGAGTAAAAGACTCTGCCCTCCTGCCTATCGGGACAGTGAACTGGGATGGTGTGTCAGAGATGGAACGCAGTAAGAGGGTGTGTGCATGAGGAGGAAAGGGCAGCCAGTGAAGGATCTCAGAACCTGAACGGAGAGGCTCTAGTCCACGGTGTGGCCATGTTAGGAGGTTGGTTACATGCAGACAAATTGATCAGATGCATACATGTACTAAGGATACATGCTAAAGCTATTAAGGACAATGGAAGCTAGGTTTCTCACGTGAGAGAAGGGAGTTAACATGGAAAAAGGGTAAACCAGAATGAACCCTGTGGTGTGGGATTGGAATTGGAGACACTGACATGAATTCAATATAAATATAGTGATAAATATTGTGTAAATACATATATGCTCTAGTTCTGTCCACTGGTGGGGCCTGGAAACAGCGACACTCTAGTGCCTAGATCTTGTTCTTTAAACACCATCATCCAGAGGCGCCTGGGTGGCTCAGTCTGTTAAGCATCAGACTCTTGATTTCTGCTCAGGTCACGATCTCCGAGTCACGAGATCAAGCCCTGCATCTGGCTCAGTGCTCAGCAGGGAATCAGCTGGAGATTTCTCTCCCTCTCCCTCTGCCCCTCCATGTACACTTGCTCTCTCTAAAATAAATCTTTAAAGATAAATAAACAAACAAATAAAAACCATTGTCCACTATGAGGAATCAGTGCTCTTTGGAGAAATGGCTGATTCCAGGGCTGGAGCAGGAAAAGAACAAGGTGAGTCTTAGAGCATCCTGTGCCAGAAAATAAGAAAGTGCTCAAGCATGATGGGGACACATCGAAATGATGCAGAAGCTAGCTTGCAGAGAGGCTCTGCTGGCCAACTCATGGACAAAGTGAACATCAAAATAAATGATAGTAATGGATTATAATTCACTATAATTGGAACAAAATAGGAAGCAATGAGTCCATACTGATACAATAAATAAATGCATGAATTGAAAGTTTGCTAAGGAACAGTCTCAAAGTACCTTACCTTTTCCCAAATACTGCACAGTGAAGGTCACTTGCAGATATCACCTTGATCAAATGACCAAAGTAAACAGCATCAGTGTAGAACACGTCAAAACTGCACGCCACCTGAGAGGACACAATGGGAACAGTACAGCATCACTGCTTGGTATCTCTGCCAAAGATGCACAACCTAATCTAATCAAGGAAACATCAAGGGGTGCCTTGGTGGCTCAGTCTGTTAAATGTCTGCCTTCGGTTCAAGTCATGGTCCTGGGGTCCTGGGATTGTGCCCCTCATTGGGCTCCCTGCTCAGCGAGCTGCCTGCTTCTCCCTATCCCTCTGCCTGCCGCTCCCCTTGCTTGTGCTCTCTCTCTGTCAAATAAATAAATAAATAAATAAATAAATAAATAAATAAATAAATAAAATCTTTAAAGAAGAGAGAGAGAACATCAAAACAATTTTAGGATGTTTTGCAATATAACTGGTCTGTGGCCTTTAAAATTGTTAAAGTTGTGAAAGTCAAGGAAAAAACACTGAAGACATGATCCAGATAGAAGAAAACTAAAAAATATAAAAAAGCAACCAAATACAACACATAATTCTGAATTAGATCTTTTTATTGTGAAGAATTTATGGGGACAATTGATGACATTGAATGGGATCTAATGATGAGATGGAAATAATGTATCCATGTTAACTTCTGGATTTGGGTGATGTTTTGAGATTATGTAGGAATCACACACTGAAGGATTCAGAGCTGCTCTGGCACCAGTTTACTCTCAAACTGTTAAGAAATATTAAGGCCTTTGTACTGTGCTTGTAAATCCTGGAGAAAATTGAGTTATCTCAATGTTTTTAAAAGGTGGGGAAAATCTATTATTTTATGAGTTATATTTCAGCAAGAAGAGATGAAGAAATACATAGGTAAAATACGTAGTCTGTCAAATGGCTACAGGCTTGTGTGCTCGGGCATGCCCTCAGTTAGAAACTCATAGCAGAGCAGCCCGAGTGGCTCAGCCCTGCCTTCAGCCCACGGTGTGATCCTGGAGACCCAGAATCAAGTCCCCCATCAGGCTCCCTGCATGGAGCCTACTTCTCCCTCTGCCTGTGTCTCTGCCTCTGTGTGTGTGTGTCTTATGAATAAATAAACGAAATCTTAAAAAAAAAAAAAAGAAGAAAGAAACTCAATAGCAGAGGGAAGGCCAGCCAAGGACTGAGAAGGAGCAATCTGTGAGGTGGGATGTGAATGAGGAGAAGCTGAGGGAGAAAAAGTTTTCTAGAAGTATGACATGGTTCACTTTGCCAAGTGCTGCTCAAAGTTCAAGTAAGATGAACAGAGAGCAGGGGGTCACTAGAATTGGCCCCAAGGAGTCACAGGAGGAGCCCTGAAGGAGAGTTTTCAGCTGATTGAGGACAGCAGCCAGGTTAAGAAGATTTGAAAAGAGAATGGGTTGTTTGTTTCTTTGCTGTTGACTTTAATAAGTTCTTCCAGTCCAATCATGAAACAAGCAGAAGACATGAACAGGAATTTCACCAAAGGAGACCTACACCATGGCCAACAAGCACATGAGAAAATGCTCCGCATCACTTGTTATCAGGGAAATACAGGTCAAAACCACAATGAGATCCCACCTCCCCCCAGTGAGAATGGTGAAAATTATCAAGAGAGGAAACCACAAATGTTGAAGATGTGGAGAAAGGGAAACCCTCTTGCACTGTTGGTGGGAATGTGACCTGGTACAGCCACTCTGGAAAACTGTGTGGAGGTTCCTCAAAGAGTTAAAAATAGACCTGCCCTACGACCCAGCAATTGCACTGCTGGGGATTTACCCCAAAGATTCAGATGCAGTGAAACGCCGGGACACCTGCACCCCGAGGTTTACAGCAGCAATGTCCCCAATAGCCAAACTGTGGAAGGAGCCTCAGTGTCCATTGACAGATGGAGAAAGAAGATGTGGTTTATGTATACAATGGAATATTCCTCAGCCATTAGAAATGACAAATATCCACCATTTGCTTCAACATGGATGGAACTGGAGGGTGTTATGCTGAGTGAAGTAAGTCAATCGGAGAAGGACAATCGTTATATGGTTTCACTCATACGGGGAATATAAAAAATAGTGAATGGGATTATAGGGGAAAGGAGAGAAAATGAGTGGGAAGCATCAGAGAGGGTGGCAAAGCATGAGAGACTCCTAACTCTGGGAAATGAGCAAGGGGTAGTGGAGGGGGAGGTGGGTGGGAGGATGGGGTGACTGGGTGATGGGCACTGAGGGGGGGGCACTTGACGGGATGAGCACTGAGTGTTATACCAAATGTTGGCAAATCAAACACCAATAAAAAAATATACAAAAAGTCACAAAAACAAAAACAAAAAGAGAGAGAGAGAGAGAATGGGAGGGAGGGGCCCCTGGATGACTCAGTGGTTGAGCCTCTGCCTTTGGCTCAGGGCGTGATCCCAGGATCCTGGGCTCCCCGCAGGCAGCCTGCTTCTCCCTCTGCCTATGTCTCTGCCTCTCTCTCTCTCTCTGTGTCTCTCATGAATAAATAAATAAAATCTTTTTAAAAAAAAAAAAGAAGAGAATGGGAGGTGAAGACATGGGGTCAGTGTATAGGGATCTCTCCTCCCAGAAGTCAGAATGATATAGGTTAGAGGCTTGTGGGGTGTACAGAGGTTCTTTGTCAGATGCAAAGTTACCAGGACAATTTGTACAATGGCAGGAGATATCCAGTAAAGAGAGAGAGAGAGAGAGAGAGAGAAACTCAGGATACAGGAAACACCCAGCTAATTTGGAGTAGTGAGAGGGATGCAATCCGAGATTGCCTGTGGAGACCCTGCCATTAGCAGGAGCGGAGGAAGAGATGATGGGCCCAGGGGAGGGTGTGACGGCTGTTGTAGTGGCAAGGAGGGGAGGATTTTGTATGAGGTTGCTTCCATTTTCTCAGTGTAATGTGAAGCCAGGTCATCTACTGAGAACAGAGAGGGTGGAAGGTGAGTGGTTGGACTGTGTGCCGGGGCTTTGAAGAGAGAGAAAGAGAATAAAAATAGTCATTTTGGAGAGTGGGGACACGAACCAGAAGGCGTGCAAAGAAGCGACTATGATGGCCATGAAGACAGGGCCCATTTAAGATTTGTGGTCATGAAAGTGAGATCTGTCAGAGTGCTTATGGATTTTTCTCCAGCAATATCCAGCTGTTTGGGTAATACAGGATATATTAAGAGTACCGAATATTTTTTTTCGAATACACATATTTTTTTCTTCATAGACACTAGGTGGTTTAAAGAAAGACAAGTTATGAGTTGCAAAGCCTTTAATGATAATGTTTGTATTATTTCTCCAACATGCATAATTTCACACCGGTGGTTAATCAGCAATTATTTCAATACTTGTAAAGCCATTTGCCTCAGGATTTAGTCATAATGCATGCATCAAGGTTAATAAAATCAAAGAACAGCAACAGCTCATTTAATCCTTCTTTATATTCCTTCATGATCAGAAAGACGCATAGAAGAGTTTTTTAAAGGGCTAAAATAAATCGATATATAAATTGTCTATTTTTAAACAGTATGAAAGTAACATTTGTGAGAAATCATATAAACCAAAGTCACACCTTAGAAAAGCAAAATTCTTAATTCAGGCTGTCTTCAGTTTTAGCCATTTGGCATTCTGCTCCTTTTGAAGCTTTATATTGCCCAACAGATAGTGTTTTGTGTGTGTGTGTGTGTGTTTTGTGGGATTTTTTTGTTTTTATGTTGTTTTGTTTTGTGTGTGTTTTTTGTTGTTGTTTTTACTGTTTTTGGAGATGACAACATATAGACGCCTATTCTGCTAGGATTTTACTTAAGATCAGTTTGTTTTAAGACAATATTTTGTTGCATTTTTATAAACTATTGGGGAGTTCTAAAGATTACATCAAGGTTATTTCTTTAAAAACTGAATATACTGATGATGTATTTGATAGGCAGGACTTTAGATAAGTATTCACCAGCATTTTTTTCTATTAGCAACCTGAAAAATGTTACAGGCTGACTATCAAATAATAAACACATTCGTAAACATGAAGCCTTTTAGAAGAAAGATCATATTTTACTCCTGCTTCTGTTAAAGTGTTATTGTTTGAAAGAATGGTAGTGCGACCTTTCACTCAACTACTACTCCCTTAATATGAGAAAGAGATAGAAGAACTGAAGAAGGAAAACTCCACAGTTACACTCCACAATTCCGAACATACTGAGAGACATCTCGGTTTTCACAGTGTTTTGTCCATGCCACCCTGTAGAGAAAAAATGAAATAAAGGGTGATAAGGTTAGAACATATCTTCATGGTAATATACATACTTCAAATCCACTGGGGTAACAGAATGTTTTACCAGTAAATGGATGACAGGCTACAGATAGATTCAGGTATTGCCATTTATTTTTATTTTATTTTATTTTATTTTATTTTATTTCATTTTATTTTTGGGGGTATTGCTATTTATTAAATGGAGATGTGCACACCAAGTATTTCACTTCCCCCCAAAGCCCTCACTGGAGGACAACATTGATGCATTCTACAACAGCAACTGCCAAGTGCTTTCCACATTTACTGAACTCCAAAAGTAATTTCAAGATAAGACAAGGAATTGGTAGAATGTTGAGAATCTTAAAAGCTCTAGAAATCATCTAAAATAAACTGAAGGGTAAAAGACTAAGATTCTAAATCAGATGAAACAGGTTATTTCTAGGTGACTCATTGTTTAGGGTAAGTGTGAAGCTGCAACATTCAGTTCTCAGTAGCATACTTGGGTCTTTGAAAATCTTCTCTCCCTTCTCTCTTATCACTAGGGCAAAATGGCTGTCCCCCTTTATTTTTTTAACTTTTCTTTTTTATTTTCTGAGAAGAGGGCATGGGGGGAGGGGAGGGGCAGAAAGAGGAGAGAGAGAATCTTAACCAAGCTCCATGCCCAGCACAGAGCCCAACTTGGGGCTCGATCCCAGGACCCCAAAATCATGACCTGAGTGAAATCAAGAGTCTGACACTCAACTGACTGAGACACCTAGTCCCCCCCACCTTCTTTAATGCTTAAACATACCATGCTCGAATACCATTTGGATCTCTGACAACCCTCTTTGCACATGCTACGGCTTGAGTGATGTCATCTTGCAGCAAAGCTGAAAAAGAGGTGGCTCGGAATGAAAATGACTTCCATAGAAATTTCATTTTATTATTCTTTTTAGAATTTTATGTATTTATGAGAGATTGAGCGCATGAGAAGGAGAGCACAAAAGAGAGAGAGAGCATTCGTGTGCATGAGTGGGAGTGGGGGGGGGGGCGCGGTGTGAACAGAGTGAAAGGAAGAAGCAAATTCCCTGGCTGAGCAGGAAGCCTGACATGGGGCTGGAATCCAGGACCCCGAGATCATGACCTGAGCTGAAGGTAGACGCTTAACTGGATAAGCCACTCAGGTGCCCCAGAAATTTCATTTTTAGTTTAGATTTAGCCAGCTTTATTTTCTTAGAAGGATGAAAGAACATTACAATTATATTCCAAGAGCCCATTTATCTGTGAATATTGGGGGTGGGGATTTTTCTTCATTCCATCCCATTTGGCATGAAATAAAGCATTCTGTTTCTCATTCACCAAAGTCATTGGAAGCTCTGGAATTGTTAATTAATGTGGCAGAGGGTTCTCTTTTTACTAGGCACTGTAAAAATAACCAACCAAAAAAAAAAAAAAAAAACCAAACACAAACTAGCAATTTTTAAATTAGCAGTTCTACTACTGGAAATCTATCCTAAATAAATAGTAAAAAAAATGCACCCAAAGATGTATGCACAAGATATTTCATAGCATTTTAACAAAGGGGGAAAAGCAGAACAATCTAAGTGCTTACCAATAAAAGTTGGACCAATAAGTTACAAAACATTAATATGTGGAATTCTTTCCATCCTTTAAAAATAATAAAGATTTGTATTTGTTGACACAGGAACAATTTTGTGTGATAAAGAGCAAGCTGTAAAGTGGTATATATAGTACAACTTCATTTTTCTTAATGCACACATTGCTTGCATGTATGTAGATACATTTGTGCATAATATAGCTTTCCCTTCATATACATGACTGATACATGTTGGGGAAGAATTTATACCAAAAGTTACCAGTGGTCATAAATCTCTGAGTAGTAAGGATTTTTATTCCATGATCACATATTATTATATAATACAAGATTTTTAAAAAATAAATTAAAAAATAAATTATCTGGATACAAAACATATTCTAAGGCTAATCTTGTCTATTAGGAATTTTAACATTAAAAAATTAGCAATATCAAAAAAACCCAAAAAATTTAGCAATACCAATTTTACGATACTTCTCCAGCATTTTATGCACAAAAGATTCCACACGTCATTCCTATTTTTCATACGAGTTCAATAGAATATTTGTTTCACTCCAATTAAACAAATCCATAAATTAACTTGTTAGGTGTAATAATAATTATATAGGAACTGTATTTTCTGAAGATGCAAACTAAAGAGTTGAGAAATGAAAAGTCATCATGTTTCTAATTCACTTTAAAATCACTCACAAAGCGCCCCCCATACATATAAAAAAAGTAAATTTGACCAAGTGTTAACAACTGTTCAAGTATGTGATGAGCATATGGCATTGTTTTTGACAAAACATCCAAAAGTCCATTTACGGTAAAGTAATAGATCATTTCAGAAATTTGTGTACATTAGAAAACATGAACTTTTTATGCCATCAACTCTTTCATTTCTAAGGGAATGATGAGGATAATAAAGACTTTCTAGACACTGAAACAGAGTTTTCCTAAGTCCCTGATGAATCTTTCAAGACTTTTTCATTTGTATTGGATCTCTGTTCTCGTAAGTATGACTAGAAGAGCACTGTGCCACCACTCAAGCATCGCGTGTCTTACCGCTGCAGGATATGTGACAGGCGTTCACTGCTCTGGGCGTTTTGCCATCATTACACCAGTAGCGGCTATTGATCTGAAATATCCCATAATCAGTGCTTTTGCTTCGGGGATTGTAGTTCGTAGCCCTTGTATTATAACCACTTTCCCATTTGGCCAAACACACCCCTGAAAAAAACCTTATTTTTAGTAAGAAACATCAACACCACATGATGTATTTCACATAACCATAATCAGTTCTATTTGCTATTCAATTTTATTAATCATTTACCTTATAAGTATAAAGGTGTATTTTCCTTGCAAAACCATGTATATGTGTACATATATATATATGTTAAGATTTTATTTTTTTTAAGTAATCTCTACACCCAACATGCACTTGAACATACAACCCTGAGATCAAGAGTTGCATAATTCCACTGCCTGAGCCAGCCAGGCGCCCCCGAGTATATTTTAACACTTTTGTTAGTAAATCATTTTACAATACTAACGAACAAGATAACATATGTTTAAAATATTAAAATTGCTGTTTCTTCCATTGCAACTACCCTTCCCCTTAGGCAAGATTTATTCTACAACGGAAAAATCAACAGCGCTGTTGAGTGGATTTTATAAGTAACTTTTACTCGGACATTATCTTGAATTGTGGAAGACCATGAAAAATAGTTAATCAACTATGGTGAGCAGGAGTAATAAAACAGTATTACAAACTGCATTTCAGGGATCCTTATATAAACAATAATTGAGGGGAAATAGGTTCCTACTGCCCCTGCACTGAGAGTTCAACATAGGGTTTTAAAACTTTGCTGTTAAAAATCCCATGTCATGGCAGGGAAATTTAAAAAGAGAAAAATATTCATTGCTCTATGCTGATTACTCTCAGAACCAAGTTCCAAACAGGAAGTGCCTGGAGTCAAGTACCAAGGACTTGACACTCCAGGTTCTCAGATAGATGGTTCAGTCAGCCTAGGTGTGCCATCAAGTCTGAGGCAACTGGCAGATTCAGCAGCACCAGAAGAGTGCAATGGGTGCTGGTTTACTTAGGATGGCATAGAATTTTGCTTTCCATGCATATCTGATTCTAAGGAAACAAGTTGATATTTTTAACCATTATAAGTATACAGACCCTCAAAGAAATATAAGAAATCCATTCATTCAAAGCCTCTTTATTATTGTTCATCCTCAATCTGTACCTGTCGAACTATCTGGAAGTAGGAAGAAGACTTAACTTACAGTTTGCCAGGCTGACGCCCCTATAGCCAGCCAGCCCAAGATTTTTCAGAGTTCTGGCCAGCTCACACCTTTCAAAGGTCTTGCCCTGGACGGTGATGGAAAGGAGGAGGAGCCCAAGGAAAAGGAGAGTCTTCATGTTGACTGGGAAGCCAGACCGCTAGGCTGACTGGAAGAGCTGTCCTCAGTATTTAACATCTTTCAACTTCCTTCTTCTCCTACTGGTTTGGGGGCTCCACCCTTTGAAAGATGTGAAAAACAGGAACTGTTTATTGGTTCACTGACTTTAAAAGCTCTTTTTAAAAATATATATTTGAAAAGAGATATTCTGCTTTCCTAAGAATTAACCTACAGGAAAGTGATGCAATGGCATTGTTTAAAGACCTGGCTCAGGAAGAATTGGGAAGTAGGATTGTTTCCAAACCAGGAACTGCCTCCTATTTTATATTGAATTTGAGCAACTATAAAGAAAAAAAAACAAAAAACCCTGAATGAACATTTTACACAGTGAAAAAGAGCTCTAATTTTTGATTTCGCATTCACTATGTGGTCTTCATCTTTTTTCACTTAAAATTATTTTCTTTCTTTTTCTTTTTAAGGTTGTATTTATTTATTCATGAGACACACACACACACACACACAGAGAGGGGCAGAGACGCGGGCAGACAGAGAAGCAGGGTCCATGCAGGGAGCCTGACGCAGAACTTGATTCTGGAACCACGGGATCATAACCTGAGCCAAAGGCAGATGCTCAACCATTGAGCCACCCTGGTGTCCCTAAAACTATTATACACTTTCCCCAAAAGCATATGACATGTTACCCGTCATTTTAATGGGCCTATAGCATGATTCCATATTGCTCAGCCATATTCCCACTCTAAATTGTTTGTTGCTATTACACATTTTCTTGCTTTATAAATCAATATTTTACCATTATAAATAAGCCTCATGTGAACAATGTTTGTAACTTTTTGAGAATGCCTTATTTCACATTTTGATCTTAGAACATAAGGGGTCATTATAAACGAGAGAATTTTATAATCAAACCTAAAGAAGAGGAACAGAATATATGTCACCTGAAAATCTTCTTGACATAAGGATTATTTTGAACTGAAAGTAACTAAGAAGCAAGTCTAAGAAAGCTCTCTGCCCTTCCCCTATATGCCTGAAAACAGAACTTAAATTTGTACAGGAATTAATCACTGACTACCCTACATGCTTATCAGCCTTAATACAGCACCAGAGGACCCCATGTAACAAATTTCACTGATTAGCTATTATCTTCTGGTAACTACTAAATATTTATCTTCCCACACTTTGCTGCCCTTGGAAGCCTAAAACTCTTTCCTGCAGTCTTGTCACTCTTCTAAAAACGTATTGTTCTTTGGTTAAGATGCTATGTAAGCCCAAATTCTTGCCACGTCTTTGAATTACTCATCCTTACGTTTCTCTCAAATACATATGAGATATCCATGTTAATAAACTTACTTGTCATCTGTCTCTAGTTACAGAGCCCCCTCTGAAACCCTAAAATAGTAGAAGGAAAATAATTTTTTCTCCTCCTGTACAGTTTCTGGTGATGAGGGTGGGAGAGGAGAAGGCTAGAACACTTTCCCTGGAGACTGCATTTGACATATGGGGTAACCAATAACAGACCGGCAGAAGGTAAGAGTTCTGACCCCATCCGTGTCCCAGTCAAGAGAGGAGTATAAAACTTTCCATTTGTCCCTCCGTTTCCAAATCCATAATGTCAGAAGAATAACATTTGTAAAAAATAGATCTTGAATCATGACTCTTGTGACTTTAGTTTGGGCTACCCACACACAAGTTATTGATTCTTCGCCTCCCAGAAGTAGTCATGTTTTCCTTTGTCTGACTTCTGTATTGTTTATCATTAAAGATGAAAATCATAAGTTGAAACTCTTCTTTGGTCTTGTTTCAGGAACTGAGAACTTGACTTTGTAAGTAGTGAGAATATTCTCTGGTCTTTGCCACACTTGAGGCGGGGGTTGGGGGGACAGGGATGCAGGTTGTCAGGCTTGCAGTAGGCAGTGGGCCAGCGGGCTAGGGGCACTGTTGCTGTCTCTATTTTCCTTTCCTTGTTTGTGCTGGAAAAATTCCCATTCCGGTATCACCCTTCTGGTAACACAGCTTAGTGGATCTGTGAATTAAAGTGTCTCACTTTGTGGGAGATTAGAACCTCCTTTAACACCTGTGACAATGAAGGTCTTTGCTTTCTTACGCTATCTTTGGAGAGCTGCATCTTGGGAGGGCTGTATCGTTTGCACTCTCTCCGTGTCCATGGTTAAGCCACAAAAAGGCTTATTGGTTTGGAGTCACGAGTGAAGTAGGTATACCTTGGAAGATATGAACTTTTACATCTAAAAGGATTTTCAAGAGATGCTCACCCTAAATAAATATCCTATCAGTACCTACAGGAAGATCAGATAGGAAGGAAGGAAGGAAGGAAGGAAGGAAGGAAGGAAGGAAAAAGAAGAAAGAAAGAAGAAAGAAAGAAAGAAGAAGAAAGAAAGGAGGGGATCCCTGGGTGGCTCAGTGGTTTAGCCCTTGCCTTCCGCCCAGAGCATGATCCTGGAGTCCTGGGATCGAGTCCCGCGACGGGCTCCCTGCATGGAGCCTGCTTCTCCCTCTGCCTCTTTCTCTCAGTCTGTGCCTCTCATGAATAAATAAATAAAATCTAAAAAAAAAAAAAAAAAAAGAAAGAAAGAAAGAGGAAGGAAAGGAAAAGAAAGGAAAGGATCAGAAAAGGATCAGATACAGATGAAAGTCTTCGTTAGAATGAGGAGGAAAAACCCACACACTTCTTTAACTTGATTAGGAGGCAGAGGTCAGACTCAGAAAACTGCAAATGGCCCTCAGGCAGGTGTGAAACATAAAAATACTGATATCCAGGAAATCGCTTTGACAAAAGCACAGAAAATGCACGAGAAGCCTTGATTTATTCTCCCTCACTCTGTAAGCAGATCCACGAGGTCTACGCTTTCCCGTATTTCTGGCCTCCACTGCAGGAAAAAAAAAAATTCATCAGACTGTACTATCCTTAATAAAAAAAGAAAAACTTCATATTAATTATCCTCGGTTTTTGATAACAAATATACCCCCTTAGATACATGTATTCTTAGATACACCCTATATTCTTTCTCAGTCCCTTGGAAATATTAATCTTACTATGTCTTTAAAATATAAGTATCCAAGGGGAAAATTGGCTGAAGCAACTCCCGAGACTGGGAAAAAAATAGATTTCTAAAAAACAAACTGCTACTTGATATTTCTATAGACTCCTTGCCCAAAATTTAGTCCATCGCTTCCATAAGATTATATACTAAAGATAAAAATCTTAAAAATTTTATCCACAAATATTGCTAAAAGGTTTAGCTATCTAAGTGGGTAAACTTGCTCCATTCACCAGAAATACCATTTAGAGCTATTTTTTTTAATAAGACAGTGAGTTTTGTATTATTGTAATTGATATGTGGCTAAAATTTAAGCAAAAGCAACAAGATCACTGTTTGCATCTGCCTGGATGTTTATGTGTGGCAATGTATTTACATTAATGTGCGATATTTTTCTCCCTCTGGATGGTAGTCCTCAAAACTAACTTGTGGAAGAGCTCTATTAATTGGCTTAAAGAAAAATATAAGCACTTATGTAAATTAAGACTAGTCAAATTAGTGTAAGTCATCTCTACTAGATATTTGAGACTATAAAATTCTAAATTCAACCTAAGAACAAAACGTACAATAAAAATGATTTGCTTAATATATGTCAACATGGTAGAAAAAGCCATATATGTGTAAGTTTTTAGGTTCTTTGAGAAACTGAAGATATTTGGGTCTGTTAATAACATGTTCTTTTGGGGCACCTGGGTTGGGGGCTCAGGGGTTGACCATCTGCCTTTGGCTCAGGTTGTGACCTTGGGGTCCTGGGTTCCCTGCAGGGAGCTTGCTTCTCCCTCTACCTGTGTCTCTGCCTCTCTCTGTGTGTCTCTCATGAATAAATAAAATCTAAGATAATAATAATAATAATGTGTTCTTTTTACAACATCAAAAAATGAGCTATGAAAATGCACGTGCAGCGGTGTTTAGGTCGGAGCCCGAGGAGGAGGCATTTCAGGCCTTTCATACCCCTGGTCTTTGGGGCCTGGGAAGTCTGGTTTGTACATTAACAGACTGAAAGAGTGACGGCGCCACTAGGATGAAGCTCGTAAGATTTTGATGAAATTGAGTCACGAAACTGTAACCACTGAATTAAAGAATGGAACACAGGTTCATGGAACGATAGCAGGTGTAGATGTCAGCATGAATACAGTCTTAAAGCTGTGAAAAAGACTTTGAAGAACAGAGACCTGATACAGCTGGAAACACTGAGTATTTGAGAAAATAACATTCAATATTTCATTTTACCAGACAGCTTACCTCTGGATACACGACTTGGGGATGTTGAACCAAAGGTGAAATCTAAGAAAAAAGGGAAGCTGTTGCAGGAAGGGGCCGAGGTTGGGGAAGAGAAAGAGGGGGTCCCAGGCTATAATGTCTCTCAAGGTTACTATTTCAAAGTGATACATGATTGGGGATATTTTTTGTACAGGTTTTGTTTATGTCAGTTTTTATTTTTTATTTTTATTTTTTTAATTTGGAATTTTAATTATGTACATAAATAGCAACATGAGAACGAGGAGTTCTACTGCTGGACATTATCTCTAGGTGAAAGGATTTCTGATTAGTCCACTGGTAGTATGGCATCACCCAAGATAACAAAGAAGCCTGGTATAGTTTTTCCTGAAGAAGAAAGCCAATTTACTACATTCAGTACTGACTTCTCTGCCATTCTTCTGTAGAAAATGCATGGAGTTTCCAACGTTTACCTATAACTGATTAAAATGGGCAGAGCATGGAGCATTCTGCTTATTTCCAGGTGAATTCTTCACATTTCCTGGCTTTTGAAAGTTCTCCTTCCACAAATCTTCCACGACTATGTATCCTCGTAAACGCCAGTCATATCATTTCTCCCCACTGACCTGGACAAATACGATGGCTTGTTGTGGATAATAAAGAGAGGCAGCTAGTCCCATGAACCCAGGTGGATACACCAGCTTCTTTATTTTTGACACTCTGGCCAAAAGAAGTCCAACAATGCCAGCATAACCAATAATG